TGCCGGGGGGTAAATGAGACACTGAGTTTCCCTCGGAGCATGAAAATTGGCCCGGRTTCAATTCTGTTTCCTGGCAAGCTCTCCCAGACATTTGTACCAAAGAAACTTCACAACCCGGGTTAGTTTTTGTTGTTGCCTGCAGCATTTCTGTGTTCTGAACTTGGCATGTGCCGCGTGTGCGCTCGGGGGTTTTGCCTTAAATCCCGCCGGTGGCTCTGGAGCTTCACGGCGGATGTGGAACTTCATGGAACTATCCTGTGAATAAAGAGCAGAGGAGAAGCAAAGCGTAGCATCCACAAGCCTATAACAACCCTCACACAGAGGCTTACAGGGACCCCAGGGTGCTGGAAACTTGGAATAGTTGGGAGCTTTTTCTTTTGTGTGTGGGTGGATGCTCCCGCTTCCTCCTGGCCTCGGGCTTTGTGAASGAGCCCGCAGTTAATCGTGGAATTTCAAACATGCGTGTTTACTTTCAGGAACCTAACTTTAGACTTCACCAGCCTGCTTTCGTCTAAACCAGCTCAGTTTCCCATGTTTCACTGGCTGGGGATGGTTTGCGGSGAGGGTTTCCTTTGTGTTTTCACCCTGTAAAGCCTCTCGAGAGCTTCAGAGRGTGATACATCTAAAAACTTGGCAGTAACTGTATATGTGGTCCATTTATGTAATGATAAAGCTGTGTTAGAGCGTTTGAAATTTCCCAGGAGTTGCTTTACACCCCGGTTTTACTCTAGGTTATAAACTACCYCCTGGCCTGAGAGACGATAAATACCAAATATCACCCAGAAAATATTTTTTTTAAGTCAAGAAAGGCAGTATCATGGTAAGTTTTACTGGAACAGATTCCTAGCTCTGCAGGGAGGGTGTCCCTGGGCAGTGGGTRGATGTGAGTTCTTCCATCCTGGTGAGCCTTTTGGTGACAGGGGACACTGAGCTGCTTGGGCCAAAAAACACCCTGATGTGCAGGTAAGGCTGAATGTAATAGTTGTTGTGAGGATGTGCCAATTGCCCCCAGATCCCAAGCACTGCAAATCCCTCTTAAGCTTAACATGCTTTGATTTAATTATTAATAAATCTTAGGAGAAAAAAAAATGTGTTCACATGTCTAAACCTGCTATTTCRTGGAGCATCCTGCAGTACGTGCACTGTTAAGATTATATCCCACAGCCAGATTAGATTAAAATCACTTCAAAGAGGACTATTTATTTATTTATTCCAATCTAATGATTGTTTTCCTCTAGAAATATGCTTTATCTTTTTTTATACATATATTTTCAAGGCAGAGCTCGTTGTGCTGTGTTTGTACAGAATCTGTTTAAAATGCGATTTAAAAACTGAGGTTTCCACGGTTCACAGCCCTCCATGGCTGGGTGCCACAGCCTACTGGTCAGATCACTCCAGTTTGCAGCTGACTGGTTTAGATGACAGTGTGACTGACCCTGGTACAGTGCAAAACCCTCTCCATTCCACTTCTCCCAGGAGCACACCATTCATCCTTGGAGGGGCTGGTGCTTTGCAGGTGCTGGTGCCCACACGAGTCACCACCATGTAGCCGAATCCGCTGGTGAAAAGTCTTGATGTGCCAARTTCAGTTCATCTCCTGCTCTGGACTAATTAGAAGGAATAAACCCGAGCAGGAGGGGCTGATGGTCCCAGCTGCCAATCCTGGGACAGYCAGTAGTGCTCACCTCAATCCCAAATACAGCCCATGCCAGGCATTTCAGTTCATTTCAGCTGTGGTGAGTTGGAGTTGTCCGTGCCAGCTCATGCTGAGGAAGACTCAGATCAGAAAGTAGTAGTGAGGTGCTGAGTATCTCAAAGGGAATAAATGTTAATTTCTAATTAGAAAAAAATGGGGATRCCCGTCAAGGTATTTCAGATGTGTTTGTTTTCAAATACTGAGATGTCTGTTTTGAAAACCTATATTGATTCCATAAAGTACAAAAACAGAAGCAGGATTTTAATTATAATAAGAAATTCAGCAATGGAGTTAWGGTCAGCACTTCTGTACAAGTCTGAATTTCTTTTTCTAATGCTCAGCAGTGACCTAGATGTCATCAATTTGGTTACTGCAAATCAAGCTAGGAGAGCGATTTTAGGCTTCTACTTCAAATTATTTTTGTAAGTCCAGTATTTCCTTTAAAATTATTATTGCCACCCCAGTCTTTTATGAACCCTTGGCTTTACCTAAAACGATTATCTGCCTGCGGGAACAACTTGCCTTTATAGCTCTCTCTAAAACATTGCTCTCCATATTGGAGCTAAAGCTTCTGTAAATACATGTTTTGACCTTCAAGGAAACACTGCTGTCATGTAGCAGGAGCCTGGCTATTCTGAGGTGAATGCTGTGACCACTCCTAATCACTTGTTCTCTCTCCTAATGTGCCATTATCCTGTTTATTACTGTGTGCACCTCGCTGGGGCCCTTCAGCAAGAGGCTTTCTGAGAGCGTCACAGTTCAGGCTCTAATGAGCGTTAATGATGGAGCAGGTGAGCAAACCTTTCCTGCATCTTGCTGCCAGAAATTCTGCTCCCTCAGTCAGAGCACGGCTGTGCTCTTTCAGGGCCAAACACAAACTTGCCATCAATTAAATAGTGTTTTAGACACYGAGCTCCTTCGGGCGTGCAGGGACAGAAAGTGAATCCTGGGCCGGCGTCAAACGTTATTGGAGTTAAAGGTGGATGCTCAGGTGAATGTGGGAATAGTGTGATCTGTTTTTCTGTCTGCAGTGAAGGCTCTTAATTTTGTTTGTCTGCTTTTCACTGAGAAATAGGTCTTGTTTGTGCCAGCCTTCTGAAGTTGATGAAATGAGGAAAAAAGGAAAATACGATTATTATTTTTTTCTTGCTGACTGTGGGTGTTTCTGTTGCTTACTCAGGTAAAGCTCTGACAACTYGCAGTGGTTTTGTCTTCTGATTAAAAGGAGCTGGATTCTTGTTTTGTCATTTTGGTCTTGTTGGGTGTGATTGGGGACGAGGAACTGCTGCCCACAGGCTGTTTGCAAAGTTTCACTGAATATTGTGTACCCAYAGTCACGACTGAATCTCATCTATAAAGGTCGAGCAACTTTTCAGTTCCTCAAGCAATTCCTTGATGTTGTGGATGTGACAGGTCTTCAGTCATCATTTCTGAAAGACTCTGAGAATTCCATCTCCTTCAGAGAATCARAAGAAAATCCAGGTTTAGGTTTATTTTACCATGTTTTGCATATCTTGGGCTTTGGGCAGTGCAGATTGTTGCCRTCTCCTAGGGATGAAATGGAGAACRGTACAAACGTGCTGTTGGTGGTTGYGCTGTCAACCCTGCACCTTGGTGAGGTGCTGTGTGTGTTTCTCACAGCACCAGGTCTGTGTTACTCTGTGTGGGAAGGGTGAATGGGCAACAGCATGGAGCTGTCAAGCTGACATTCAGTGCCCAAAACTATTTTTGTTAGTCACAGTGGCACCCAGCAGGCTCGCTCAGCCGCACTTGGTCAGCTTTTGAGAGCACTTGCTCTGTGAAGATGGCAAGCTCTCATAAATTAATATTTGTGTGAGATTTCGTGGCCATTGGTGTAATCAACCTTTGCGTGTTGAGCCGAGGAGATGCATAAACATGGAGCTAATGAACTGTACACAGTGAGTAATTGCTGTGCTGCGGGAAAGCTTTGAGTCCATGCTGTTGGCTCTGTTGGTGCCAGTGTTCCGTGGGCAGTCTGACCTGTGCCTGTGGTCTGAGGTGAGGTCTCACATTCAAGTCTTTAAAAGATCTGCAGAAATCTGCTGTTGGAGGTTTCTGGAGCATGAAGGTGGTGGTGCTGACGGTGTCACATCGTTGTCATCGCATTGTTTGTGCTGTCTCAGCAGTGAGACTCTTTCAGAAGTGGCCTCTGAGAGGTTTTGGCGGATGTGGCTTCTCGTGTCTAGGCTCAGGCTTTCTCYTTCCCCTCTTTTGATCTTTGAATTCCTCCCCAGTTGTTTTAATTGGGGTTTGTGAAACAATGACTGAAACTAAATCAGCTTGCAAGTCATGAATCATTCAATTCTTCCCCTGTTTTGGAGGTCATGTAACAAGTCCCAAAGCCTTTCTAGCCTTCCTTAGGTGTTTTGCTTTGTCTTGCAGCCCTGATGCTTGTGGACATCTGGACAAGCAGGAAAAATCTACTGATTTCTCTAGCTTGGCTCTGTCACCCTGTTTCCCAGAACTTTCTGAAGTGCTGCAGCCAGCRGGATCTGAGCAGGGGATTGGASCAGGTGGCCTCTARAGATCTGRKTCTAACTTAAATCTCTGTAATTCTAGTATCATTGGACACTTTGAGCCCCAGTTAGCTTTGTTGCTGGGATCCCTCTTTGCACAGCAATGATGGGATTTGAGGTTTATAAATAAAGAGCTTTAGTGCTCCGTTTTGAGGTTTGATTTCTTAAATGCTGGACCAAACCAAAGAGGRTGGTGGCATCTCTGCAGCCCCCATCTTTCTGTGGTCTGCCCCAGGGCAGCTCGGGTTAGCGAGTCTCTGCTGAAATGAAGGAAGTTGTAGCCATTCATCTTTCAGCCTAATGGACCACAGAAATTACAAGCTGTAGCATGCAGCTTAATCTTGCCACAAGGCAGAGTGCTGCATACTTTGCCTCCAATTTATGCATGCCATGCCTGTTTGTTAAATGCAAAAGAGCAGTTGACAGGATTTCTCCAGAGGAATTACCTTGGTGGATACCAGTGCATTTCAGCAGAGTGAAATGAGTGATGGTGGTTTCTGTACCATTCATAACAACCACCTTTGAAATCTGAGGACAGAGTTACGGATTATTCTCTGTGTGTCAAGCAGCAGAGGAGGGCAAGGCAGCTATTTTGGTTTTAACCCTGCAGATGACCCAGTTCTTGAAGTATTTCCGTTGCCGTTAGGAGATGCAGTCAGGACTGGAGCAGCGGTTGCGCATCTGTGCTTGGTCAGGCCTTCACCCAGGGATGGCTCTTTGCCGCTTTCTTTTCTCTGTTCCTCCTTGTATTATAACTTTGAATTGTCTCTCTGTTGTTGCAGTGTGCAGAGGAGTGAATGCCCCATGTTGTGTTAGTGCCTGTCTGCCATGCTGGCCTGTCTGCCAGGACCAGGCGACCTCTCCTTTCAGCTTCTTTCTTACACGCAGATGAACACTGGACTTCAGAAATGTGAGTGATGTTTTGTCTGCAGGATGTGGTTAACTGTTAAATCTGGCTCTGGTACCGCTGTGACATAAACATTTAGGATACAGTGGAAAAACTATTTAATGTAGAGTCTTTCTTTTGTAACGCCTTCAAGGCATTTGTCAGTAATGGCTCTAGGAAATGGCTGTGGAGGTTCACATGTGTGTGCAGCAAGCTCTCCCCTGTTCCTGGCTCTGCAGAGGTTAATTTTAACCACAGCAAGATGRGGTTCCTGAGAGATTTGTGCCTCTCTGCTGAAAAGGTTTTGTGCTAAAAGTGTGCCAGCTGATTTGCTTCTTAACACAACTTGTTCCTCAGTCTTTTTCTCTTCCTTTCGTGCASTTACTCGTAGACACCAATAAAAGTTGGATCAGTCTAATGCAAAGCTTTTGASGTCAGCAGCTCTTGCTCTACATACCTGGGGCTTATACTGCAAATATTAGTGAGCTAGCCCAAATTACTAAAGTTCAAAGTTTCCATCTTCTTTCTGATGTCTCTTTGGTGCCTCTGAAAATATGTCTTCAGAGTGCTCTGATAATTCTTTTTTGATAACTTCAGTCATTTTTTTCATAGTTGTACTGGTATTTTTAAGAACACCTTATGCTTGGGAATGTAAGTTTACTGACTAGRGATTTTTTTAACTCTTACTCCTTGTCTCCTCTTTATCTCTGAAGTAGCACATTGATTGTTCAGCTGAAATTTCAGAAATGCCAAGGTTTCTATGTAAGGTCTGTGTGCTTGGTTCTTAGGGCTGTAACCTGTCTCTTGTGTTTGAAATGTGCATTGGGAAATTTCAGTTTGCTGATGGACTCATTATTYCTTAAACCTGAGTGATTTACAGTCCAGTTGTAGCCAAATTGTTCATATAGTGAGGCTTGTGCTACTGAAAATAAATAGGGAAGATAATTTTGCAGTTAAGGGTGACCTGCCCGGGATCCTGATCCTGCCAGAAGAGGCTGACAYGGTTCACATACACACCCAAACTCCSCCACAGCACTTCTGCTGACTCTTCTGGGCTTGGTAATTATAATGACACTCAKCAACAGTAAAAATCTTCACTCACCAAAGGACTGGTGATGGCATCAAACYGGGCATCCCCTCCTTTTTCTTTCCAATTTCCACTGTGAGCTTTGCTGACGGGCTGCGGGGTGAGGATGTGCCCAGGTCTGTGCATTGCGTGAGGTTTCTTTGGCAGAGCTTGGTTCTGAAAGCAAAATGTTGAGGTTCATGTGAGGGCAGCTGTGCATAAATCAGGTATTTGCTAATTACAGCTTTACAAGGCAACATGCTGGTATGTTGGGCAGTTTTCCTCACCTGATGGTACCTGATGCTGTTTCTTGGAGATCTGCTGATCCATGTGCTGAAAGCATTGCTGTGTCCTGCTCAGTGAAGAGCTTTGGGAGCTGCTTTTCAAAAAATTTAGGACATAAAGTAGCTGGCAGGCACGGGCTGGCAGTGGTAACGCTCAGCTGTTGGGTTTGTTCTGATTTATATGGAAGATGAAGCTGCTGGTACAGACCTTGCTCAGCCCYGCTGCAGATGTGGGCACGATTAATTGGTGCATTTTTCTTGTGCTGGAGATGCATGAGTAGCCCAGCCCCTGGCCGGGGCAGAGCTGAGTTAATGAGCATTTTTTAATGAACAGTGACTTGTGGCTTTTSATGGGAGGTGGAAGCAGGCTGTAATAATAGTGCTACTGCTTTTATGAAAGGCACAGAACTCCACAGGATTGCCTTTCTTCAGACTTGCCGTGTTTGTGTTAATAATCTTTAAGTGTAGTTTTCTGGATCAGACTTTCTATTAGTGTATTAAAATCCACATTAGCTCAGTTACCTCTTTTTTCCATATTCAGTCTCAAATAAGAGGTTTGTTCTTAAAGGTGGTCTGTGCAGTAGGAGTTTGGTAGATTAATATGCACATATTTTTTCCTTTAGAAATTGATGACTACAGACCTTCCAATTTCAGTATTTTTTGTTGAATTCCAGCCTGAGTTCAGGCTAACCATATAATTCACCCTTTTCTACACAGGGGATTTCTCACTGGCTYTGTATGGATATTCTCTCCTTTATCCCAGTGACTCCAGTATCAACCTGAGTGGTCATTTGGGATATTTGAGACAAGATTGTTCAGGCTGTGTCTGCAGCTGCTGTTGAACATAGCAGCAGTGACAGACCTTCTGGGAGAAAAKAGTCATTTTTTTGTGACAGTGGTGCAAAATCAAGTGAAAGGTGTTTCTTAGAAAGTATTTTGTTGGGGGGACACCAGAGAAGAGGAGATTGGACAACACGAGGTCATCAGCTAAACTGAATGTTTTTGGGAGGGCTTTTTTAGAGAAACTGCTGAAATTGAGGTTTTTATGCAGACTATGGTCATAGCTGGTTCTGGCTTGTCCCAGTGCAGGAGCTCTCATTAGAGTAGGAATCCTGAAGGCCTGTTTGTATTTTGTTTAATGATAATGAAAATTTAACCATAGGCAGCTTTTAAAAGCAGTGGGGTTTAAAGTCTTAATGTGAAATGCACTTAAAAGATGTTCCATTAGTKCTGAGGTGAGGCAGGGAAATCTGTCTCATTCCATGTCAAAAATAGCTCCAGTGGTGAGGCCAGGAGTGTGACCAGAGGAATCGGTTGCCACGGGATTAGCAGGAGTCATGGACTTGCAGCTCACCAATTTATTGGGGTAATTGCTCATATGCACAGCCTTGCCTTATAATAAACATGAAATAATTACTTTTGAAGAAAAGTATTCTGCCTTGCATTTGCCATTAGGGAGCTTCCTGGAGCTCATCCCATTGTTTTCCTAATGAAGCTTCTTCCTCTGCCATTGCCTCATCATTTTATTATGGTCTGATCTGGATTTCTTGCTCTTGCACATGAATGATGATATTCCAATATCAGCATTTTCTTTCAGACTGTTCTGGCAGGTTTTCTATTCACTTAGTTACCAGAACTAATTGTTCTTTATTGGTTTATAGGATACTTGCATGGGATATTCAGACTCTTTCTCACCCCGTAATGCCTTTCTCCTAATATTTTACTGCCTTAATTACTACAGTCACGGAATCTTGCCTCTGGAACTACTAGCAAAGCACATTGGGGCACTCAGAAATACGTCACCTTCAGGCCTGAGTAACATGGCTGAGTTAGCCTGTAGTAAAAGGAGCATCATCCTACCTGTGCATAAACCAGGTGCTGTTTGGAATGGTGGTTGGGTGCAGAAGATCCCATCCAAGGGGTTTAAAAGGTGGTTTGCCTTTGTTAGGATGCCAGGCTTGGTGCTGGGGTGTCATTTAAGTTTAACTGAGGGGCTGTTTTCTCTCTTCAGAGGAAGAAATTCTTCCAGGTTTGGGATTAGAGGTGTGTCTGACTGATGGCTGCAGCCTGTTCAAACATCCATGCTGCTTCCTGATACTAAAAAAAAATACTGGATAAAAGAATATTCAGTGTGTCTATTTAGTGTTTATACTTACAACCTAATTTGCTGATTTGCCTATAGGAGTGTAAACCAGGCTGGGAAATTTTCACTGCAAAGGTGTCTTAAAGTATCCTCCTAATTTTTCATGTGAAAATAGAACGTGACAATGTCTGCAAGCATAACATAAACCATAACACACGCAGATATGGGTTTCTTTGTCCTTTGGTTCTTCTCTGGTTCATGAGGGGTTGCCAGGGTCAGGTCTTGGGGAAGAAACAGACCTTAATGAGCGTGGGCAATGCTAAAAATAAAGGTTGGGAGTTCAAGAAGGTCTTGGCTTTTGAGGCAGGGTAACACTGGCAAATGCCATTYGGAGGCTTTCCTCTCCGTTAGGAGCACAGCAGCTCGCTCAAAAGGGCAGATATGAACCACCTGCCTGCAGAGACAGGTACAGGGATGTGAACAGAGAGGATGTTTGGGTTAATATTTCCTTTGATTAAGAGAAAGGGATGATATGTGCCAGTGTCTGGACAGCACAGGGAGCACAAGTATAACCGGCGCCGTGGTACGAGCTGTGCTAGAGATGTAAGACAAACTGCTCGTAAAGCTTCTTATTTCACAAAAGATATTTTTAATACTTCCATAATTAGCCTTTCTTTTGGTATCCATCCTGTTTTCCATTTTCTGACCTTTTCTTTGTGAAAGTGAGAGCTCTTAGAGCCGAGCTGCTCTCCCTCACCTGTGACGACGGGAAGCTGCAGGATGCAAAGAGAGAAGTGGCTGCTACTCATCTTTTGGAGGCAATTTGCTTAAAAGAATCAGAGGTGGATTTTCAAGAGGAAGGATTATTTGTCTGGGAGCAGCAAGCTCTGTGCTGGAGCATTAGATTTCCTTGGGTCAGAGATGGGGCTGGGGTGCTCTTGGGTRGCTGCCACATTCCCTGTTCTTTCTGCACAGCAGCAGATAGCACAGGGATACTGAAAACTGTMGGGAAAAGGATGGGCATTTTTTTCCAGTGAACTGTTTGCAAGGTGAAGGGGGRAAAAAAATCAAGCAAAAGCTAAATTGGATTGTCAAAGCTGCAAGCCATTATTTGAAGATTATAAAATCAGCAGGCGTCCCATAGGAGTTAGGCAGCAGAGCTTTGGTGGGAAAACAGCCCAACTCTCTGCTTGGAATATGATTATGGCAAGAGAGACACAAGCATTTCCCTAGATTTCTGAAGTTCTCTGCAGAAGCAGTTTGTGCTTGTGAGCAAGGTGGGTATCTGGTAAATCAGAGGAAGTGAAACCACACCTCTGTCTCCAGAAGCCTTTTATCTGTGTCTGGGGAGCAGCATGTTTTTAATCTTGCGAGGTAATCACGTCATTTTGCCATGTGATGTGGGGATGTTGTCTTTAGCAAGGTGCCACCCTGAAAAGTCAGCTGAAGAAATAATTGCAGGCCATAAAATAATCAGCCTCCTTCCATTTGCCGAGTTTGGGCCGACAAGAGCTTCCTAATGGACAGAARGACACTCAGAAGTGCTTTCAGATGTCAGCACCCAGGAAAGGAGTGGGGTGTAAATGGAGGCTTGAGCAGAAGCTTTGATGTGTGTTGGGTTTKCARGGCRAGGGTTTGGTAGTGGGGGGGWTRCAGAATCAGCTCAGAAACTTCCCCCATGGCTGATGGAGCCAAAGCCAGCTGGSTCCAGGACRGACACACCACTGGGAAAACGGATTTAAGAAGGGAGAAAATCCTGCACAAYTGCAGCTGGAGAGAGGAGTGAGAATTTGTGAGAGGAGCAGCTCTACACAAACCCCCAGGGTGCTGAAGAAGGAGGGGGGAGGAGRTGCTCCAGGCACTGCAGCAGCRATTCCCATGCAGCCCGTGGGGAAGGCCATGGTGAGGCAGCTGTGTCCATCTCCCTGTGCTAAGGAGGTGGAGAAAGGAGTGAAGTTGAGCCTGGGAAGAAGGGAGGGGTGGAATGAAGAGGTTTGAAGATTTGGACTTTTTTTTTCATTACCCTACTGTGACTGGATTGTTAATAAATTAAACTAATTTCCCCAAGTCTCTTTTGCCCATGACAGTAGYTGGTGAGTGATATCTCCMCTTCCTTATTCTGAYCCTGTGTTTCTTCTTCGCTGCCCAGCTGAGGAAGGGAGTGACAGAGCATCTTTGGGGCACCTGCTGCCCAGCCAGGGTCAGCCCACTGCAGTATGGTTCCCAGCTCAGGATTACAGGGGGTTCATGTTTAATTCATAACTTTCTGATTTTSAATTCCACATTGAAAATACTGAGAATGGCTTGAAGATCTATGGGGAGGCAGTTTAAATTAAGAGAATAAAAACCAGCCCAGCACTGCAAGCCATGAGGAATCTTTTAGCTGGAGACAATCTGATGTTTATAACACGTTACCTGTTTTTGTCCAACTGCAAACATACTCTGATGAGAACCTGGTTTTGTTTTGCTCCCCTGGGCACGTCTTGCCTTAAGCTGAACCGGGGCTTGTGTTGGTCACCAGGTAATAAAGGGAATGAGGTATCAGCTACGTGACCCGCTGGTCTGGGAAGATGAAGTTTTCTTGCCTCTCGATTCCTCAGAGATTTTCTACCCTTGTTGTGTGACTGTCTTGCCCTGGGGTTGATCCCTTGCTTACCAGAACTGACGAATTTCCTTTCTCCGCAGGGGACACTACACAGAAAATGAGATCTGCACAGTATCCTACCCCAGCAGAATTGGATGCTTATGCTAAGAAGGTCGCCAACAATCCCCTGACCATAAAAATCTTTCCAAACAGCGTCAAGGTTCCCCAGAGGAAACACATACGCCGTACTGTGAACGGACTCGATACTTCAGGCCAGAGGTACAGCCCCTACCCATCTCAGGCCACCACAAAAACGGGCCTGCTGGCCATAGTGAAATCTCCAGCGAAAGGAATCATCAAGGACTTTGACGGGACGCGCGCGCGCCTGCTGCCGGAGGCGATGATGAACCCCCCCTCCACGCCGTACGTTGCACCAAGCACTTTATCCCACCCCCAGGCGCTCGCTCGCCAGCAGGCTCTCCAGCATGCACAGACTTTGCCGCACCCCCAGAGCATCCCGCAGCACCCTCAGGGTATTCCACAGCCACCCAGCTTACCGCACCCTCAGGGGATCCCGCAGGCGCTGCCGCACCCGCAGAACATGCAGCAGCCGCAGGGCTTGCAGCACCCGCAGAGCATGGCACACCAGACCCTGCAGCACCCCCCGAACCCGCTGCTGCAGCCGGGTTTACATGGAGGCAGAAAGATGCCGGATGCAGACGCGCCGCCGAATGTGACCGTGTCTACCTCAACCATTCCCCTCTCTATGGCTGCCACCCTGCAGCAGAACCAGCCACCGGACCTGAGCAGCATTGTGCACCAGATTAACCAGTTCTGCCAGGCCAGAGCTGGCATTAGCACTACCTCAGTGTGTGAGGGACAGATTGCAAACCCCAGCCCTATAAGTCGCAACCTGCTTATCAATGCAAGTACCAGGGTATCTACTCACAATGTCCCTACACCCATGCCTTCCTGTGTGGTGAACCCTGTCGACCACGCTGCTGCTGCTATTCCTCCTGCCTCTGTTAATGTGCCCATGGTCAATATTAACAGGGTGCCACCCGCCTACCAGAACGAAATCAAATCGGTCGCGTGGAACCAGCACCAGCTTGCACATCTGCAGCAAATGTGTGGGGATGCTGCTGGGCCTGCTGGACTCGCAGGGAAGCACCCTCAGAGAGAGATTGCAGGGCAGAGTTTCCCTGGTAAAACCTCCAACTACCCTCAAGAACTGTGCATGGGCCAGTCCTTCAGCTTGAAGCCCCCCATGGAGAAGCCTACGCCTTCTCCGCCCGTGAACGGGTTGCAGGGACCTTTGCCATAYACCAATGGGCACTATTTCCAGCCCCTCTGGAATAACATTCTGCCCACGCCCAACAGTGACAGCTCTGGGTCCCAGGACCTCGCCATGCCTTTCCACGGGGGACAGCCAGCGGGAGCGCCGCTGGATTGCGCAGGAGGAACTCATTTCAGAGCTGGAGCTGGCYCATCCAGCCAGAATAATGTGATGCAGACCATGGATTACCTAAGTGGGGACTTCCAGCAGTCCTGCTTCCGAGACCAGAGCATGGCTGTGCTGGGAAAAGTCCATCGGCCTCCCATGAACCGAGCACCTGAACCAACCGATAGTCGAAATCTTCATATTCAACACCCAGGGTATAGATAGGCTGCAGTCACTTTCACAGACAAAAAAAAAAAAATTATAGGTTTTAGTCTTAATTTTAATTAATAAGCAAGGYGTTTTTAACTTGCAAACTTGTGTGATCATTATAGTACCCATTGGAAGAAGACATACTGTATATTTAAAGAGCTTTGCTTGCATGTTATCTCTCTCCTTTATGCATCAAATATTTAACATGCCTTTTGTGTCAAAGAATTTCATTACACTACTTCACGCCACAGCTGTTTCCTCACCGCAGAGTCCCCTTTGTGCAGCTTTTTTATTGTTTTTTTTTGCCTTCTGCTGAGCAGCTCCTCGCTGGACTGAGGTTGAGTTGCTGCAGGGTTTCGCAGTTGCATCTGTTCTCCAGCTCCGGCGAGAGCGAGGTAGCGTAGCTGCTTCCATTTCCATCTCAATTTCCTCACAAGATTAAGAGCAACAGAATTTTGTCAGGGAGTAGGGCTTATTTTCAACTCGAAAGCCCATTTCATTAATGCATTAAACATTGACCATTTGCACTGTCTAGAGGCCTGTGTAATTGAAAAAGAGCCTGCGTTTGAACAGAGCCAGCTAGGGGTATGTATTTCGGCTTTAATACAGGGAGAAGCTTTTCAGCTGTTTCTTGCCCACGTTTATCATTTAGACTTTGTCCAAAGTCAGAAGTCTCTGGCAGATTTTTCTGACATTTTCTGTTTTCTGGACAGGGTATGGTGGAGGAGGGGAGCGGCAGGTTTGGGACGAAGGCAGCCCCAGGGAGCTGCTTTTCTTCGTGTTCCCCCTCCCCAYTGCCCTTCCAGCATCCTCAAAGCTCACATTGTCTGAACCCCTCGCTGCTAGGAGTCTGGCCAGCCTGATGTGAAGGGAATCCAGACCCACTGACAACTCCAAAAAGGGTTCAGCCACTTCTCTGGTAGCCAGGATTACTGTCAGGGTGAGGAGGAGATGTAGCTCAGCCTGTCCCCGGTGCAGCGAGCACGGTCCCRCTGTGGGATGGTTGGAATCAAAGCTCCTCTCACAAACCACCGTGGGATTGACAGTCCCCTGTCCCTCTCCATCAAAACACCCCAGCRGATTTAATGGAACAATTCTTCTCCCTGGGAATTAGCGAAGCTATTTTTAACATCCCTTTTTCCCAGGGTTTCGGTGCCTAACTCCTTCTGTTCCTTTCCCACGTCACTTCCAGCAGCCAGTCAGTCAGTGACTGTAGGACACTAACTACTGGGTAACCTCAGCATCTTGTTCTCCTCAGTGTACCAAAACATCCCTTTCCTTTCTAACAGCCCAATTTGTTGTAAGTAGAAAATTCCTCATCTCTGTTAACGAGACTAATACTTGAACATAATGATCACAATCAAGTTTGGAAATTAAAAAAAAAAAAA